GGGGGCAACACTGAGGGTTGCGATCCGTTGCCAGACACGGAAAAAAAGACAAAAGACAAAAAAATAAAAATAAAAATAAAAATAAATAAATAAATAAAATTGGTATAGGGTAAATGCTGGACATAGCCTTATTCCCCCCTCCCTGTGCTTACCAGAGTTCCTCCTCCCCCTTGGGAGACTACCCCTGGCCAAGGTAGTTACCCAAGGAAAGGCATGTGCCCTCGAAGAGAAAAAGAGAGCTGGAGGGACCCTAAGTAAGTGAACTAGCAGTCTGGTGTCAGGAGAGTAGTGAGTATATTAATTTATCTACTCAGCCAGATCTCCCATGCACTCTGAGTTATGTGAGTGGGGTGAGGGTCTGCATGTAAGCCTAAAAATGATTTACACTCCTACTCTGGTCTGTTCACTATATAACTGGTATATGTATCCCATTGCAGCGCAGATTTTCTGACTGACAGGCTGCTGTCAGTGACTTTGGCTGCCATCAGTGACTCTCGTTAGTTTAATAAACCAATGTCTCTACCCACTGAGCAACTGGGTGAATTTTTTGGAGTAGGCAAACATTACACGAGTGCCCTTTTAGATCTGGGGCTCCTGCATTACAATTTGGTTATTTGTTTTCTTGCTATTGAGTAGAGTTCCTTAGATACTTTGGATGTTAACCCCTAATCAAATGTATAGTTTGCAAATATTTTCTCCCACTCTGTAGGTTGTCTGTTCACTGTGTTGATTATTTCTTTTGCTATGCAGAAGATTTTTACTTTGATGTAATCCCATTTATCTATTTTTGCTTTTGTTGCCTACAATCAGGATTTTAAAATACACAGCTCTGAAAAAAGACAAAAGGGAAAAAATAAAAAATAAAAAAAATAAAATACACAGCTCTTTGATATGGAAAGTTAGTGTTGTGATCCTGGAATCTGAATTTTTAACTAGTGGATAAAATGATTTTCCAGATGATTCCAAACATATATAATCTAAATCAGTACCCCTCAAATTCCTCATGCATAAGAATCACCTAGAGAATCTTATTAAAGTACAGATTTATTCAGCAGGTCTTGAGTGAGGCCTGAGATTCTGCATTTCTCACAGGCTTCAGGTGATGATGCTCCTGGTCCAAGGAGACCCTTCCTAATCTGATTCTTGGTCCCACAGCAAGAGTGGGAATGTAGAAGATGGCTGGCTGAGCCTATGTGAGTTGGTGGCATTAGGGCTGGGACTGAAGGAACAACCTGCATTGTCTGGAAATGGATTATATACAGAGGAATTGAGTAAATAAGTATTTGCATTTAGGAAAATGGGAGATAGGTTTTTCATTGTTCAAAAAGGGAGGTACAAATATGGAAAGGGGTAAGGTTAGAATAAACTCTGTGGTGTTAAGATTGAAATTGAAGGTACTGCTGTAAACTCATGTTTTACACACACACACACACACACACACACACACACACACACACATGAGGAAATTAACATTGCTATTGTAATACCATTTATTTTATAGACCCCATTTTTTGTTTTGTTCTGCTGAAAAAGCCTAGGAACGATACTTCAGTAGTAGTGACCATACCTAGTGCCCAGATCCTACTTTCTAAATACCATTCCCTCTAAGGAATCAGAGCTCCTTGAGGTTTCTGATTTCAGGGCCGGGGCAGGGAAAGTAAAAAATGATATTGAAACATTTTGTTTCTGAAAAACAGTATTCAAAGAGGTAAGAGGGACATAACAAAAGATACGGAGTTAGCTCACTGCAGCACTGGACAATTTGAGACCAAAATAAATGATGACAGCAAGGAACTACAACTGGAAAAATAGAAATCCAGAGTCCATACTAATATTAGTGAATAAACAAACAAATAAATAAGTGGAAGAGAAGGCAAGCTATACCTTCCAGTACAATTTACCAACACAAATACAGAAGAAATGATGGCATTTTAAAAAAACCACCATTTGGGGCCGGCCCGGTGGCGCACTGCTACAGTGCGCCGCTTGGGAGCGCAGCGGTGCTCCTGCCGAGGGTTTGGATCCCACATACAGACTGGTTCCCGCTCACTGGCTGAGCGAGGTGCGGGCACAACACCGAGGGTTGTGATCCCGTTGCCGGTCCCGGTCCGGTACGGGCGCGACACTGAGGGTTGCGATCCGTTGCCGGACACGAAAAAGGAAAAAAAATAAAAATAAAAATAAAAATAAAAAACCACCATTTGTCAAGCATCACAGATTCAGGACATAATATTCAATGGATGCTATAACAATGGGTGAAATCTTAACAAGACATAGGATATTTACATAGTCTCAGAGTATCTCCCCATAAAATACTTATTAACTTTACACTGAAAAACCTGAGAGAGATCATCTACCAAATGATAAAAGTTAACTTCACCAGTAATTGGATAAACATCATATTCTTCTGACATGATGCACTGAGAAGAACACAGCATCACTTCTAGTGATACTAGTATTCCTGCCAAAAATACATATCCTGAATCCAATCATGAGGAATCACCAGACAAACCCAAATTGAAGGATCACCTACACAGTAACTGTTGTATATGTTTTCAAAATGTCATGGACATCCAGACAAATTGGATATGTTTTTAAAAGAATTTTTAAAAATGTCACAGACAAAGAAAAACTTACGAATTGAATTGGCCCATATCAAAGACTAAAGGGACATGGCAACTAAACAACTAAATACATTATGTGATTTTGCATTGGGTTTTTGAAAATCATTGGGTTTTCAAGAAAGAAGAAAAAGGGAATAAAAAGTTGTTATTTTACAAAGGATATTATTAGGACAACTGGCAAAATTTGAATGGGGTCTATAAAATAAATGGTATTACAATAACAATGTTAATTTCCTCATGTTGATGTGCATGCTGTGGTTATGTAGGAGAATGTCCTTGTTTTCAGAAGTACAGACTGAAGTGTTTAACAATAATAGGATATCATGCCTGCAATTTGCTCAAACATGGTTCAGGAAAAAAATACATATATGTGTATGCTTGTGTGTATAGAAAGAGAGAAAGAGAATATAAGTCAAATATGGCAAAAATTTAACACTGAAGAATCCTGGTGAAGGGTATACAAGAACCCCTGTACTCTTCTTGCATCTTTTCTCTAAATTTGAAATTATTTCAAAATAAAGTTAAAAAACTAGTGTAACCTTAAAAAAAATTGGCAAGGATAGGGAAATCTCTGGATTATGATCCACGAGTTAATCATGTCCACTGCCCAAGTTATCCCACTTTTGCCTATGAATATACTTTTTTTTTTCCTTTTTGTCTTTTTTCGTGACCGGCAACGGATCGCAACCCTCAGTGTCACGCCCGTACCGGACCGGGACCGGCAACGGGATCGCAACCCTCGGTGTTGCGCCCGTACCTCACATTCAGCCAGTGAGCAGCCAGTCTGTATGTGGGATCTGAACCCTTGGCGGGAGCGCCAACACGCTCCCAAGCGGCGCACTGTAGCAGTGCGCCACCGGGCCGGCCCCTGAATTTACTTTTTAAAAACTTCAAGTACCAATACTCACAAAAGTCATAAGATGAAACTATTGTATTAAAGCAGACATTTACTCTATAATCCTCTCTTCTGATCACTTATAAGGTAAACTATGTGGTTGATTACCAATATTTTAAATATTACATAAATTCTGTTTTCTATCTTGAAGATCAGCAACACAAACATGTAACTGTTAGTAAAATGTGGCTCTTAAAATACACATTAAAAAAGAGAAACAACTGGTAGAAAAATTAATAAAGTTCATAAAAAGGCAGATCTCTTAAGAGGTAATATGCAAGTGTGCACTGATACAGGTATACTAATGTTGCTTGTAGCATTATTTATAATTTTAAAACTTGGAAATACAATCTAAACTTACTATTAATGGACATCATTTGTAATACTGAAATCAACCAAAATATATATCAATAAGGCTAAATAAAATTATTATATATTTTGAAAAAAAGAGACTTAAATATACTTTATTTAGCATTGATGTTTTGACATTAACTCATAAAATATGGAAGGTTATCCATGGTAAGTGACATACATAAATTAAAGCTTTTCTCATTCTGTATGTTTCTATACACACACACACACACACACACAAGAAGTCTGGAAGAATTTGCACTAACCTGCCAAAAGCAACCTGTGGTTATAGGGGAGGTACTTACAATTTTTACTTTATATACTTCTGTATTTATTTTTTTTTAAACAAAAAGAATGCATTAATTCTGGATCAAAAAATAAAGAAAAGGGAAAAAACTCATCTTACTACTACACAGCAATGAGCTGACCCACAAAAAAGATACTGATACCAAGCACTTCTTGGGGAAAAGAAAAATCCATGTTATTACCTTGATTTCTCATTGGAATGGTTAGCAGAGCAAGGTATGGCAACAACTGAGTTTGGAGGCACAAAGCTGGTAGGCAGAAGTCAGAAAAAAGTGCTTTTGCTGTCAGGCAGTTTTCCCGATACTACATAGAAAAGGAAAAAAAAAATGAAAGAAAAGTAAAAAATTTGGTTAATGTATTCCTAGAAAAACTAAGTTTATTATTACATGACAAAGTGTGTGGGTTTATATACAACAAATGTATTTTAAACGGTTTATCTCATTATTCCTTTATACTTTTCCTAGCATTATCTAATAAAGCATTATGCCTATACAACCACTTCATATTTGACTTAAGAATTTTTTTAAAAGAGGCATACTGTATAAGAAAAACAAACTTAAAAATCAAAGGAATTCTGTTTGAGCATACACACATCACAAAGTACATGAGAATACTGTTTCTTTGTGAAATAAGCACAATCCCTGCTTTCAAGGAGCTTACAGTCTTAGATAATTCATATGTAGCTATATGCAAAATTAATATATGTGTTATAAAGAGTAAAGCAAGTCAAGAAGGGACATAAATTTCTTTAAAGTCTTAAAACTCTCTAAGAAATCTGTTGGAAAAAATTTCTTAGCTAATGAATTATAGGATGATCATACTTAGCCATATGATTTTAGAACTGGAAGATATCTTATAGATGACCCAATATAGGGGTCACAAACTCAGATATTACAGCAGTCAGGCAGGTAATATAAGTGAGTGGACTAGCTGGAGACAGTACTGTCTACTACTCGTGTCTCAAAGTGGCAGATGCTACTTGGCTTGAGCTGACTGCTGCCATGTAGAAGTATGAGCCAGCGTGACCTCACCTTCCATTTTTTTTTAAAAGAGATTTCAGAAATTCTGAAGCCAGAAATTCATATGAGATTGAATTATTATACTAATTTTTAAAGACTGGCAATTAATTTTAAAAATCTGTTGTATATAACTCATGGGCCACCCATTTTCAGCCTCTAAATAATTCAATCTTTTACAGTGATAGCTGTGGAGACTTAAGAGCAAATTAAGTAAAATAATTTGTCCAGATGGTTAGAGGCAAAGTCAGTATTTCTTTTCTTTTCTTTTTTATTAGCAAATTAAGTAAAATAATTTGTCCAGATGGTTAGAGGCAAAGTCAGTATTTCTTTTCTTTTTTATTGATTTGTTTATTGAGTTTATTTAAATTGATGAACATAGTATATATTTATGGTGTAGAACATGATGTTTTGAAATACATAAACACAGTGGAATGGCTAAATTGAAGTAACTTACATATGCATAACCTCACATATTTATCATTTTTTAATGGTAAGATCACTTAAAATCTACTGTCTTAGGGATTTCAAGTATATAATACATTGTTATTAACTACAGTCTACCATGTGTACTTGTACAATATCTCTCTTGAACTTATTCCTCCTGTGTAACTGAAATTTTGTATACCAGGGTTTATTTATTTATTTATTTAATTATTATTTTTTTCCTTTTTGTCTTTTTTACTGACCGGTAACGGGATCACAACCCTCAGTGTCGTGCCCGTACCGGGGACCGGCAACGGGACTGCAACCCTCGGTGCTGCGCCCGCTCCGCGCTCAGCCAGTGAGCGGGAACCGGTCTCCACATGGAATCCGAACCCTCGGCGGGAGCGCCGCCGTGCTCCCAAGCGGCGCACTATCCAGTGCGCCACTGGGCCGGCCCTTAATTAAAATTAAAATATAACTATACTTTGATTCCAATAAAAGTGCTTTTTTTTTTAGTGCTTTTTCCCTCAAAAAAATGTCTAAGCATAAGAAGATTGCTCTCTACATATTTTATCATAATTCTAAGAAAATCATAGGCCTTAGCAACTATTTTACTAAAGACAAACCATTTTTCTTTTACTTTAAAAAAAAATAACAGTTTTATTGAGATATAATTCACATATCATAAATTCACCTACCAAAAGTGTACAATTCTTTTTTTACCTTTTTACTTATTAGAAACCACTGGGGTTTGTGCAAGGGACGAAAACTGGATCCTCCGCCTTGGCAATGAGCAAATCCTCGGGCTTTGTTGGAATGTATCACACCTCTTGTGGCTATAGATGTACTATATTCCCTGAGTAAAGAACGTATCTGACAAATGAGACAAAATGTGAAATAAAGAAAATAAGAGATTTACAAAATAGTTATCACTGGTACTACTAACACATAAAAAAAGATTATTTAATTTCTATATGTTCACTTTTTTCTTTTTTTTAAATTTATTTTTTATTATACATACATGTGGGGTACAATGTTGATTTTCAATAATTGTGTACAGTGTGTATATGTTCACTTTTTTCAACACCACCGCCCTAAAAATAATAGTGCTACAAAATTATTCAAGGAAAATTCAATTGAGACAAAACAATCAAATGTAGTGTGTGAACTCTAGTATATGTGTTGCCGAAGTGAGCACAACGTAGTGTGTGAACTCTAATTGGCTGTTGGACAGGGGTGTGGGAAACAACTTTAAATATATTTTTGAGGCAACTGGGGAACTCAGAATAGGAACAATATATTACCAAATCAATGTTAACTTTCTTAGGTGTAATAATGCTATTGTGGTTGTAATAAAACAATGTCCTGGGCCGGCCTGTGGCTCACTCGGTAGAGTGCGGTGCTGATAACACCAAGGCCACGGGTTCGGATCCCATATAGGGATGGCCGGTTCGCTCACAGGCTGAGCATGGTGCTGACAACACCAAGTCGAGGGTTAAGATCCCCCTTACCGGTCATCTTTCAAAAAAAAAAAAAAAAAAAAACAATGTCCTTATGCAGGCATGTGTAAGTGCTGTGTCATGATGTTTCAATTTCTTTCTAATTATTCAGCAATGTTAAGTCATTAAGAAAAAATACAAATTTTATAGTAAATAATTCCAAATATGTAAAAAAATAAAAATAAAAACTAGCAGAGGGCTGGCCAGTTAGCTCACGTGGTTAGAGCAAGGTGCTGACAACACCAAGGTCAAGGGTCTGGATCCCCAAATAGGTCAGCCACCAAAAAAAAACCTAGCAGAAAGTACAGCAAGATGTATAGTTCTTTCCCTTCTATCTAATTTTCAATGGTTGTCAAATTTTCTAAGTATATATCAATTTTAAAATATGAAAATAACTTCAGAAAAAATTGATGCTATATTAATCAGAAAAAACAGATTAACTACTGAAGCTTCAGAACAAACACTAGGCTGGATGAATTAATCGCAGCATAGTTATTAAGAAGAGTCATGTAAAATACTGTTAAACAACTAGGGATAAAAGTAAACTTTCTTTTCTCAATTCAGTGGAAATACTCATAAACGAAAATATTTAAGTCAAATGGTCTTACATTCCAGTCACCACTGAGGATATCTGCAAAACTCAGAAATTCAGTGGCTCTCACGAGATCATCTACTTCGGTGAAGAAATCTATGTAGTTTTGATGAAGATATAAATTAAATAACTCTCCTGGCATGTGTGACATTTCTACTACTTCCTATAAAAAGAGGCATATATATATAATTTTAGCAAAACTGTATTGGTTAGATTATATACTGACACAAATAACATATAATACATCCTTTAAACAGTATTAAGTGTTATTAAAGACCTTACCTCAGGTTGAACAAGTAATGTATCCCGTTCATACTCTGATAAATGAGGAGGCAACCGAGGTGAGTCTAATTCTGTTAAAGATGCTCCTATAAAAAAATTTCAGGAATTATTAAAGATAATACCATCTTTGTAATTATATAGCACTTCTTATTTGAAGATTTTCAACACTTTAGACACATAATGCCAAAATACCAATTAAGCTGTTAAAAATAAAAAACAAAACCAACAAAATACCTGGAAGCTTATGTGAGGTGCCTATTTTATCATTATTAGCAAGAACTAAACTTAGAATTCTGATGCCTGGATTATGGCTTTTCTAGGCTTAAAATATTCCATTTCTCAAAGCACTCCCCATTTCTCCTTTTCCAGCTCTGCATTATCATTTCAGTATAGTTCTTCACCATTCTATTTACTATATGTAGGAAGGTACTGCTCTCTGCATGAGAGAATGGGAACCACATTCCCTAATGCAAAAAATTACAAATGAATGTTGGGTAGGGAAAAAAAAAAGGTGAAAAGAAAAGAATCACATGGGAATGGTCACTGAGGTTCAAAGATAAGAGGATCCAGGGACAGAAGAGTGTCTTCGCTGCCACTTAAGTGATGCCCATTTCATTTTCCTCAGGTGGCTTGAAGATTTCCATCTACAATTCCCAATGTTCTTCCTTCAGGATTGTAAAACTGAAAACACGTATTTACTACATAAGGAACAAGAGCTTGGAATTTTATTAAAAGGAGAAACAATTTGGGAGATTGGAGATGGGTAATAGGGGGTAGAGGAACTGAGGGAGAGCAGGAATCAAAGACTACAGGTGGCAAAGCACATCTGTCTGGGGAGACAGCAAGCTAGTGAAGAGTACAGAGAAATGTAAGAGGGCTGAAAGAAACCTTAAGCTACCCGGCAATTTGTCTAGGGCTCTAGTGGCTAGAGCCCAGTGCTAAGAGGGCTTAGGGCTACCAACACTTGCCACTGAAAGTCTAGATGGACTGATGTCTTCTTACCTTCAGTAAACTATAATCTTAAAGATTTACAGACATGGATATGACCTACAGTAGTCCGTTTCTCTTTAATCCTGCTCATAGACAGAAAATACTCTAAATACATTTTCCTGCTATGTTTTAGGCCTTGCCAGTATCTGACCTATCCCTATCTCTTTTTTGTAAAAGAATCAAATAACATGACATTTTTTAAAAAGTGGTATTTTATTTCTATTGTAAGACTAATACCCAACAGATTAAAAAAATGTATAAAATTTCTTACTTTTACAATACAGAATTTTCCCCAAAGCTCTGAAGAGAAAGAGAGAAACATCTTTGCCACCAATAGCTTGGACCTCTTGATTTTCAAAAATCCTATCGGGTTTTTTTCTTCGTTTTGATTTTGACAGTGCAGCATCTGATTTTAATGACACTCCTTTTTTCCTTGGCCAAAAATTGTTCTCTCCTAAATAATATACACCCAAGTGACAATATTTAAAATAAAGTTAAAATATGAAAATTAAAACAAAGAAAATATAGATACAGTTACACTAAATATTCCAATTAAAATATATTTTTCTAATAAACAATAATTATAATATACATGAACTGAATTAGAGTCCTCTTTGGGTTACTGACACTATTAAAACGGAATAAAATGTTACTTAAAAGCATCTCATGACACAGATTTCAAATTTTCACACACACAATGGCAAACTAATATAGTCCTATCATCTTGGTTTCTCATTGTATTACGTGCAGAGTACTGTTCTTGGCTCATGATACATACTAACTAATTTAGTCCCCATAACAACCCTATGAGGGGAGAACTATTATTACACTAATTAAAAAAATGAGATATAAAGAGGTTAAATAACTGGCTCAAGGACATCAGTGAGTGAGTGATTTGAATCTAGGCAGTCTGCTTCTATAATCTATGCTTAATAACTATGCTTTATTACTTCTCTACGGATTTCAGCAGTCCCCAATTTATGAATGTGCCTGTGTTCAAATTTCATTTGTAAGTCTACTGTTTAAAACTCAGAATGCGAGGGCCAGCCCGTGGCTCACTAGGCAGAGTATGGTGCTGATAACACCAAGGCCGCAGGTTCAGATCCCTTATAGGGATGGTAGGGGGATCCGAACCCTCGGACGGGAGCGCCGCCGCGCTTCCCAAGCGGCGCACTATCCAGTGCGCCACCGGGCCGGCCCCACCAGTCATCTTTTAAAAAACAAAACAAAACAAAACAAAACTCATAATGCGTGATAAGTCAAGGGTTAAGATCCCCTTACCAGTCATCTTTTAAAAAACAAAACAAAACAAAACAAAACTCATAATGCGTGACTTAAAAGCAGCCTTGAATAGCAGAAAGAACACAGGATCTGGACTTGAATCATAGTATTGTCTATCTCATTAGGCTATTCTGAAATTAAATGAAAAAACATACAATTGTTAACACAGTTCCTGGCCTGCTCAAAAATTCTTATTTTCTTTTCTTTAAAATTTCTGTTATTAATGTTATAAATAGCAGTTAGGATCTCTAACTGGTGCACTTCAGCATTCCTAACTTATAATTCCAGTGCTGAACCTAAGCACCATTTACATTTATGTTTCCAAAGAATAAGCAGAATTCTGGGTTTAGTTGTTACAGAGGCTGCCTATGCCTTTACAGTTATTTTGAAAAACAAAGACGCAAAATAAATGAACAGGTTACTCTCGTGGGCAGAAACACTAGGATTTCAGGTAGGTTTTGAGAACTCCAAAAATGGCTTTTATTTCTTTAAGGTCAAATCATCAGTGTTAAGCATCAAGTAAATAGCTTGCTAAATGCTTTCTGATGAGGACTGTGCAGTGAACTATGATCATCAGAGTAAAAATATAACTCACTGTCTTAAGTGGAGCTATCTTTTTATTATACCATGGCTCTTTACCCTTTTTACATATTAATGAGGGGAAATTAATTGAACATATCATATAAATTATTACCTGGGTCAATCACAGTCCCAAAATATTTAATGGAAAATCCCAGGTATAAACACTACATGTTTTAAATTGCACGCTGTTTTTAAATTGCACGCTGTTTTTTTTTTTTTTTTTTTTGAGATCAGCCGCACCACGCTCAGCCAGTGAGCGCACCGGCCATCCCTATATAGGATCCGAACCCGCCGCGGGAATGCTGCTGCGCTCCCAGCGCGGCACTCTCCCGAGTGCGCCACGGGCTCGGCCCACAGTGCTTGTGTTTTAAGTAACCCTTATTTTACTTAACAATGACCCCAAAGTGCAAGAGTAATGATGCTGACATATTGTTATAATTGTTTTATTTTATTGTTAGTTATTGTTGTTAATCTCTTACTGTGCCTAACTGACAAATTAAACTTTATCATTGGTATGTATACATAGAAAAAAATACATGGCATACATATACAGAGTTTGGTACTATCTGTGGTTTCAGGCATCCACTGGGGGTCTTGAAACACATCCCCTACAGGTAAGAGGGGACTGCTGTACCAATTATAAGTTAAACTATGTTTAGTTTGATTTTATTTCATGAATTATTAGGAGAAAGTTAGTCACCTATATAATGCTCTATGAATGTATCTTTCATAGTTACCTTTTGAAGAAGAAAACTGGAGGCTGTTTATTGCACTTCTGATATCACCAGAACATCCTTGACAGAGCAACTCTAGAGAAGTTTTATCAGGGATCATAATTTTTCCTCCATTCTAAAATGAGAATATTAAATTTAAAAACTCTTTTCTTTCACATATTAAAAAACACCCAAACACATTTTTTACAACTTAATAGAAGTAAATTAGATTCTTTTTTTTTTTGTCCTTTTTGAGACCAGCCGCACTGCGCTCAGCCAATGAGCGCACCGGCCATCCCTATATAGGATCCGAACCCGCCGCGGGAACGCTGCTGCGCTCCCAGCGCGGTACTCTCCCGAGTGCGCCACGGGCTCGGCCCACAGTGCTTGTGTTTTAAGTAACCCTTATTTTACTTAACAATGACCCCAAAGTGCAAGAGTAATGATGCTGACATATTGTTATAATTGTTTTATTTTATTGTTAGTTATTGTTGTTAATCTCTTACTGTGCCTAACTGACAAATTAAACTTTATCATTGGTATGTATACATAGAAAAAAATACATGGCATACATATACAGAGTTTGGTACTATCTGTGGTTTCAGGCATCCACTGGGGGTCTTGAAACACATCCCCTACAGGTAAGAGGGGACTGCTGTACCAATTATAAGTTAAACTATGTTTAGTTTGATTTTATTTCATGAATTATTAGGAGAAAGTTAGTCACCTATATAATGCTCTATGAATGTATCTTTCATAGTTACCTTTTGAAGAAGAAAACTGGAGGCTGTTTATTGCACTTCTGATATCACCAGAACATCCTTGACAGAGCAACTCTAGAGAAGTTTTATCAGGGATCATAATTTTTCCTCCATTCTAAAATGAGAATATTAAATTTAAAAACTCTTTTCTGGATCGCAACCCTCGGCGTCGCTCCCGCGCCTCGCTCAGCCAGTGAGCGGGAACCGGTCTGCATGTGGGATCCGAACCCTCGGGCGGGAGCGCCGCCGCGCTTCCCAAGCAGCGCACTATCCAGTGCGCCACCGGGCCGGCCCCGAAGTACTCATATTTCTGTAGTAGCAGAGAGTCCCCTAAAATGTCTGTAACAAAAACCATTACTCTTCCTACTGATCATATGTGAGAGTACTCATTTTTCCATACCTTTGTTAATCCTGCTTATCAATCTTAAGTTTTCTTCAATCTGATATGTGAAAAATGGTATCTGGCTTAAATATGAATTTCTCTGAACACCTCTCATGTTTACCAGCTATTTGTACTTATTGTGTACTGGCTTCTGTTCTTAGCCTCTTTTTTGTAGGCATATTTTCACATATTTAGGTGTTAATGCTTTTTATCTGTTACATAAATTACAAATATTTTCTTTCATTCTGACACTTGTCTTTTTTTTTTCCCCCCCCATGACTGGCCGGTATGGGGATCCAATCATGCTTGTTTTTTAATTTTGTCTATAATGCCTCTGTTACTTCCTAAGCTTTTCATTTTCTGAAGTAAATCCACCAATTGTTCTTTTATGCTTTTAGGTTTTTGTCTCTTTTATCATACCCCAAGTCAGTATTTTTTCCCTAATACTTTTCTAATTTTAATTTTTGTATTTAAACCTTTAATTCACCTGAAAATTATGTGTGTAAAGTATGAAGTAAAGATGCAACCTTATGTTTTTCCATAAGTATATTCAATTATTCCAACACCACTTACTGACTGTAACAGTCTAATTTTCCAAGTAATGTAAAGGGCCATCTCCATCATAGAGAAAATTCCCACTGACACAAATTGATCTATGTCTGTGCTTTCCCATTTCATTCTTCCATTTGTCTATTACTGTGCCAATATCACAGTTTCATAATTTCTATAGTTTTATATTACGTTCAGATATCTAGATCATAAATTTCCCTTCATGGTTCATTTACGGAATCCCCTTGCTCATTATTGTGAATTTCTCTTCCAGATTAACTTCATTTTTATTGTGAATACATTTAACTTAAATATTATTTTGAGAAGAGTACTAGTTTTTGAAAAATTCTACATATGGATTACTTGCCAAAAAGGAAATGTAATTTGTTTTATTGTTTTTTTCCTAAAAGATGACCGGCAAGGGGATCTTAACCCTTGACTTGGTGTTGTCAGCACCATGCTCTCCCAAGTGAGCTAACCGGCCATCCCTACATAGGGATCTGAACCCGTGGCCTTGGTGTTATCAGCACCACACTCTCCCAAGTGAGCCATGGACTGGCCCTGGAAGGTTTTTAATAAGACAAAAAAACACAAGTAAACTTACCATCCAGAACTAATGACACTTAGCATTTTTACATACTTTCTTCTAGTTTGTATAGGTTACTGTGTATATGCGCATTGTTGTTATTCACAATTGTTTGTTTTGTTTGAGCACAGTGATAGGGAGTCAGAACAAAACTTCGGTCCCATCTGATACTTAATAGTTGTAGAATACTATGCAAGTTATTCCCTCCCCAGAGCTCAGTTTCCTTACTTCTTTTTTTTTTTAAAAGATGACCGGTAAGGGGATCTCAACCCTTGGCTTGGTGTTGTCAGCACCATGCTCAGCCAGTGAGCAAACCGGCCATCCCTATATGGGATCCGAACCCGTGGCCTTGGTGTTATCAGCACTGCACTACCGAGTGAGCCACAGACCGGCCCAGTTTCCTTACTTCTAAAATGGGGACAATGTACCAAGTTTGTATGCTTGTGGTAAGGATTTAATAAGACCATGTATGTAAAAATACTTCACATAGTGCCTGAAACATATTGAGGGCTAACAACATAATTTTTATTAGCATTATTATATAACTTTGCCTCTTTTTTTTTTTTAAATTTTTAATTGTTTTGGTAGCTGGCTGGTATAGGGATCAAACCCCAGACCGTGGTGTTACCAGCACCATGCTTTAACCAACTGAGATAATTTCTTGTTATTTTTAACTTGACATTAAATTGTAAGCATTTTTCTGTCATTAAATATTCTCCAAACACTAATTAATGGCATAATAGTTCATTATAGTAACTGCTCTCTTACTGAGCTCAGTTTGTTTCTGACTTTTCAGTGTTAAGAGCTGTTACTTATTCAGCTAAGTGCTCCACATACATTAATGTGTTTAATCCTCTAAACAACCTCTCAGAGATTTCCCTCACTTCCTGTGATCCTGGCAGTGCAACAAAAATTATGTTTTATCCAAGATCTAGCTGATTTGTAGCAATAGGACCCCCAAGAACCATGCTACTGGGAATAGAAGTTCCACCAATTTATTTTTTTTATTTTCTTGGCAGCTGGCCAGATGGGGATCTGAACCCGTGACCTTGGTGTCATAAGGCTGTGCTCCAACCAACTGAGCTAACCAACCAGCCCCCTCCATCAATTTTAATATCATCTTGATTTGGAAGATTAAAAAAAGATGTACTGAAAGTAACATCAGGGCCGGCCCGGTGGCGCACTGGAGAGTGCGCTGCTTGGGAGCGCGGTGCGCTCCCGTCGAGGGTTCGGATCCCATGTGGAGACCGGTTCCCACTCACTGGCTGAGCGCAGTGCGGGCGCAACACCGAGGGTTGCGATCCCGTTGCCGGTCAGTAAAAAAGAGACAAAAAGGAAAAAAAAAAAGAAAGTAACATCAGTTGTTTCACAACAATGTACATATACTTAACACTACTAAACTGTATACTTAAAAGTGGTGAAGATGATAAATTTTATGTGTTTTTTCACCACATAAAATGAATGTTTAAAAAAAAA